CCCCTCGGCATGGGAGCCGGGCCCGGGCCCAGGGCTCCAGTCCCCCTTGGCATGGGAGCCGGGCCCAGGCCCAGGGCTCCAGTCCCCCTCGGCATGGGAGCTGGGCTCGGGCCTAGGAGGCCACCCGCCCTCACAATGGGAGCTGGGCTTGGGCCCAGGCCCCCAGTTCCCACTGAGATGGGAGCTGGATTTGGACCCAGAAGACCACCTGGCCTGGGGATTGAAGCTGGGCTTGGGCCCAGGGCTCCGGTGCCCCTTGGGATGGGAGCCGGACTAGGGCCCAGGAGGCCACCTGTCCTTGTAATGGGAGCTGGGCTGGGGCCCAGGAGGCCACCTGCCCTAGGAACGGGACCTGGTCTGGGGCCCAGGGCTCCGGTCGCCGTCGGGACGGGACCTGGTCTGGGGCCCAGGGCTCCGGTTGCCGTCGGGACGGGACCTGGTCTGGGGCCCAGGGCTCCGGTCGCCGTTGGGACGGGACCTGGTCTGGGGCCCAGGGCTCCGGTCGCCATTGGGATGGGACCTGGTCTGGGGCCCAGGGCTCCGGTGCTCCTTGAGATCGGAGCCGGACTAGTCCCTAGGAGGCCACCTGCTTTAGGGATGGGAGCGGGGCTGGGGCCCAGGAGCCCACTTGCTCTTGAAAGAGTAGCTGGGTTCTGGCCCACAGTGCCAGTGCTCCTGGGAGTGGAAGTTGGGCTAGTGCCAAGGAGGCCACCTGTCCTTGGGGTGTGAACTGGGCTTGGGCCCAGGAGGCCACCTGCCCTTGGTAGGGGAGCTGGGCTTGGGCCCATGGCTCCAGTTCCCAGCAAGGTGGGAGCTGGGCTAGCACCCAGGAGCCCACCTGCCCTGGGGTAGATAGCTGGGTTTGGGCCCAGGCCTCCAGTGCCCCTTGGGATGGGAGTCGGGCTAATGCCCAAGAGGCCACCTGCCCTGGGGAAGGGAGCTTGACTTGTGTCTGGAGGTCGGGTCCCCCTTGTGCTAGGAACACAGTTCTGGCCCAAGGACATGGCCCCACCGGGCACGGTAGCTGGAGTTGTACCCAAGAGGCCACCAGGCCTTGGCAGGAGAGCCTGGCTCATGTTTTGGAGTTCAATCCCTCTTGGGATGGGAGCTGGGCTTATGCCCAGGAGTCCAGATGCTCTAGGGAAGGGAGCTGAGTTTGCCCCCATGGGCCCAGCCCCTCTTGGGAAGGGAGCTGAGTTTGCCCCCATGGGGCCAGCCCCCCGCCCTCGGGACAGAAGCTGGGCTCGTGTCCAGGGGGCAGGACGCTCTCTGGTATGGGGCCGGGGCTCTTTCATACTTTCTTGGGCACGTTGGTGATGATGGGCTTGGGGCGGGTTTTGAAGAGGAGCTTTGTCTTGATCAGAGCCGTCACCAGGTAGTGGGCAGCTGCCCCTGTGGGGCTGCGGTCACAGCCGTGCTCACTGGCACCACGTTTGGTGAGGACGGCGAAGGGCTTCTCCAGGTGCACTACCTTCCCATAAAGAATGTGATGGCCCACGATGAGCACAGGGACCCCCTTGGGAAAGAAGAGATAACAGGCACAGGGTCAGAGCCCTGCAGGGACCAGGCTCCCTTCCTTTCACTACAGCCTCCTTACCCCTTCCACAAGAAGATCAACATCAGAACCAGGTGCAGCCTTCGTGGGAGCTGCCTTGGCAGAGGACTTCCTACAGCTGCTCTCCCAAGCCTGTAAGGAAGGTAAGGAAAGCTCCCTCACCTCTCTGGTGTAATGCAGGTCTCCCAGGAGGTTTCCAGCAAGTCCGGTGCTGTAGCGAGCCTCAATCTCTCCCTGCAGCTCCATCAGCACCCACTCTGCCAGGCCTTCAGCCCCATCACTGAAAGCAAAGGGCTGGGGGTTACAATGTCCTAAGGGTCGAAGGGCCAGGAGGGGGATGTCCACACAGAGGCTCCACTACACAAAAATGTGGCAAGCCAGGTCCACTAGCTCTCTGGTTTCTGTGCAATACCCGGGTTTAGACACTGACCGAGGGCCTTGCTGAAGCGTGTTCAGACCCCAGTGGGACACAAGCTAGCTCAGAAACTGACAACTCCTCACTTCCTCACACTAGCACAGGAAGGAGTCATGCCAAACTCACCTGGAAATCACAATCTGCACCATGCTCCACTTCTCCTCTGCAAATCGAAGGAGACACAGATTCATCAGCAAATGGGGCTGAGGGACCAGGCACCTGGTCTGAACCTCCTGGGCCACTAGGCGAGAAGTGACCACCCAGCTGTACCTGGGGAGGGGAGGAGTCCACTCTCTCCTCACTGCCAAGTCTCGTTGTAGAACCACTTATGGCACAGCCCCCAAGAGACCCTTTGATGCACACGCTCCCTTTGTGCCCTAAGCAGCCCTTCTGATGGGAGCTCCCCATTGATTCACAAGGGGGAGTGATGGGTTGAGCAGCGATTATTTTGTATTTTACTGCCACCTACTGCCAAACTCGGATAATGTTCCTTTACAGCTACAATGGGTGATGCGATATGCACAATAGAAGCGGCTCAATGTTGTGCTCCCCAAAACAGACAGAGGCAGTCTCCCAGAAGCAGGGAGAATCACCAAGAACATGGCAGAATGATCTGACTGCAACGGTAGCAAGTGGCTGGCACATACCTGACCCTTGAGATTACGCTCCAAGCCACAATATGTTTGTTTGATTGTAACAAACAACGGAAGAGGCTGGACTACCAGATGGGATGTTCCAAGATCATTTTCATTGGAAACAACAGATGGGATTTGAACACAGGCAGACGAGTGACTAACGTGTGGCTCCACCAGACCTCCCTTTTACCCAGCACCACACTGTCTCAAAGACAGTTTGCTTAGATGGTCGATGTCATGTCAGCAAAGTGCTTAGAAGAGGCATCCTCCAAATACCTTATGGATCAGCAAGATTGTGTAGTTTCCTTGGCTGTTTGACTCCTGTCTTTTACTTCATTATAGTTAGCATGGTGGGCCCTGGATCCCAACACCCCAGAAGCAGAGCTCAACCAGCCCAGGTCCCACTGCCAACCAGCCTAGACTGCGAACATTCTCCTGTAAAGCTAGAATTAAACGATCTTATTGTCTGTAATTCAGGCAGCCTGAAGTGTGTGATGTGACCTCCCCCAGACTATCCAGCAGTGAAAGCTGGGTCCGTGGGAGTTTGCAGGGGAAAGGAATTGTCACTAATATCTCAGACTTCTAAGTATTAATCTCTACAGAGGCTAATTAATCCTTTCTTGGAGATTGTTATATTAGGATAAACTCATAACAATAAAATAGACTCTTGCAAATTAAAACTGGAAAAGCTCCTTTTGCTCCCACTGAGTCCATCTCCCAAGGGCCGCAGCAGGAGTACTCCATGCAGGACGTTTTCTAGGGCTTTCTCTGAGCTAATTTAAAGTTTCCCAAATGACAAGGTTTCTGCCCCTTCCTTGAGAGTCTTCCATGGCCATATACATCTCACTGTCACTAGCTCTTTCCTGACAGTCAACCTAAAGTCCCCCTTGCTTAATTTCATCCTATTCCTCCTACGTACATCCACCTCTGCATAGGAAAGTAACTTCTATCCCTCCTTGGTGTTTACACTGTTTAGATACAGGAAGATTTATGTCCCCCACCTTTATTGTCACATAGCCAAGTTAGTTCTTATATTCTTTCCTCATAAATTAATCGCTCCAGCCACTTGTTTTTCTGATCTGAATTCCCTCCAATTTGTTAATAGCTTTTTGACAATTTGGTGCTCAAAACGGAATGGAACATTCCAGGTGTGCTTGCATCAGAGTTATGTAGAAAGGGGCTATTTTAAAACGATTATTAAAAAATTAAACAGATCTATCTTATAGCACTTTCCATCCTGAATCATTCCACCTGCATTACAAATTTTAATTATATACACAACGGAATCACAACACAGGCCACTGCAACACAGCCACCTC